TTTTCAAAGGTATGTTTGCTAAGTATAAAATTCAAAGAGAACAGATCTTTTCTTTCAGTCCTTTAATTAATCTAGTTTCTTACACCCTTGGTCCTTTTTTTGCTTTCAAATGTGGAATAAGATGCTATTTAATTTTGTTCTTCCATAGCTAATATTTTTATATATATGCTTTAATGATTTTTTTCTTTACAAGAAGTTTTGGACAATTTCAAAAAAAGGATTTTGAAGACTAAAAAAAAAAAAAAATAGGAAACTGACACGGGTACAGAGGAAAGTCTGGTGACAGGAAGAACACCATGTGAAGGTAAAGACATAACTGGGTGAGGTACCTACAAGTCAAGAAACATCAAAGGCTGCCAGTAAACCACCTCCCTCCCCACCTCTGAATCACCACCTTGCTAGCACATTCATCTTGACCTTCTAGACTGCTGAGCATGAGACAAGGGGTTTCACTGTATTTAATGACACATGACAGCTAGAAGTTGTGGCTTGCAGTTGTGACAGCTCTATGTAAGAGGTCAACATGGTTACTGTGTGAGACCAGATAGTAAATAATTAAGGTTTCTTGGGCAGTATGTTGAAACTAGTTATCTGTCATTCTAGCAGGAAAGCAAGAAATTAGGGAATTTCTTTCAGTGTGGCATTATTTTTCAGTGGCTTTCTAGGCAGAGTAACCCACAGCATCAAAACAGTAGCCACAGCAAAGCTAACATTTAATGAGGGCTTACTTTGTGCCAGACATGGCCCAAGAGGCTTTGCGTATTTTCTCATTTAATCTCCCAACAAGGTAACTTGCAGCCCTCTTACTGCAAATGAAGAAACAGCCCCAGGTGATAACTTATTAAGGATCATCTTGCTAGTGAAAACCAGATAAGTACAAAACACTCTTAGCACTAGTACATGCAGGTAGACCGACCACCTTGGCCCTCAGCAGAGAAAATTCATTGAAGAAGCCAGAGAGATGGCTCAGTCCCCAGTTCCACCAAAAAGAAAGAAAGAAAGAAAAAGAAATTTCATTGAAATTTCAGTGTGTCCCTCCCCCCACACACCTAACTACAGCCCACCCCTCACCTTATAGAAACCTATAAAGCCTGAGAGAGGAATGTCCCCTTAGTATTAGAAGCTTGAAGTATTGCAGACCAGCAAGTGACAAAAAATCTTGGGGAAAACTGATTTATAGGTTAGGCAGAATTTCCACAAGTAGAACTGGTAAGCATGTTACACTTTTTTGAGTATGAGTTAGGGGCAGTCCTGAAAAGATCACACAAGAAAACTGGAGCTTAAGGAGATACATAGAAGTGGTCTGCAAGGACCATCTTTTGAAGGTGAAAATTGGGAGATCTCACCCTTCCCCATGTATGACACAAACGTATGTTGTGTGTTGAGTAATTCCCTGGATGTTTCTGTAAAGGAAACACACCTGCTCAAGTATTTTTAAGTAGGAAAATGTCACAGTATTGAGAAAGACATCCAATTTCTTTTCACTTCTGGATTTCCTCTTATGGGATTTAGGTAAACATAAGCAGGGGCCAGCAAGCAACTCTCAAACATCAGAATGAAGTTTTGCCTGTTATGTCTCCTGTATAATACAAGGGCAAGGAGCAGCCCTCTTACTCTCTGGACAGCTGCTTACCAGGACTACGGTGGTAAAATGCAATTTAAGATTCAGGGTGATGTAGCTACAGAGGATGGTAATGTCCTGGGTATTGCATGGAAGAAGCTGTCTACAATGAGACCTACATGTTGAACCGGTTGTCAGATGCATGCTGAAGTGTTAAAAAAAAAAAAAAAAAGTGTTAAAGAATGGTCAAGTAGATGACCTGCACTCGAGTGGACAGGTTTTGAGCAAGTTAACTGGAGATTTTGAGAATCAGAGGGCAGCTTGGGCCTCATGGACTGGTGGTGCACAGAATGGATAGTGCTTTAGTATTTCATCTAACAGCTGTTTGGGCCCTTAGGTCTAGTAGTTAATGCCTTTAGTTAAGTGAATAACAGCAATATTTCAGGGAAAATTTCAAAATTTCTTGAATCTTTAAATTCTAGAAGATTACTATAAATGAACAAGCAAAGAAAGGCTGCATCATATAATTAAATCAAGATTACCTTTATTACATAATAGGTCTGTGTTTTCTCCTCTTCTCCTTCAGGAGGCAGCATAACAACAGTAAGAATTTCATACCTCTTTTTCAGCTTATCAATTTTACTGAGTCGTTCATGGAACTCGATGCTAATATGAAAAGACAATAATTAAAAGACTATTGTATGCTTATTGTAAACATGTGTATCTATCTTACTACTGAGTTCAGACAGACCAAATCTGTTTTTCCTTTTTAAGTTAGTTAATTCATTGTGGAGGGTATCACATTTTACCTTACTTGAAAGCTTAACAAGGTAGCATGCCAGTTTCATGGAGAAAGAGACAAGACTGGCAGAAAGACACAAGATTCTCCAGGGGCAGAAGCAAAGGACTTTGTCACATGGCACAGCAAGCAACATGAACTTTCTATTTACATCAGTTCCCCCTTACTCTCCAAAAGAAAGGGCTCTACTGGATGCTATGCAAATACAGTGGGTTTGTGCGAGCTGAGGAACCTCAGGCTTAGGCAACCCAGCTTTTAGAATATGATTTCACAGTTTCTGCTCCAATGATAATCAGAAAACTATTATAATTTCTTGGGCTGGGAAGATAGCTCAGTGGAATAAGTGCTTGCCTGACAAGCACAAGGTCCTGAGTTTGATCCCTACTACCACCAAAAAACTATTACAGTTTCATATATATATATATATATATATATAGATATATATATATATATATGTGAGAGAGAGAAGTAAAAAAGAACATGAAGTGATTCCAGGCTCTTCCACAATAATAATGTTTTAAAAAATGAATATTCCATATTTAATATTAATACTCTTAATCATTCAAAGTAAGCACTTAACTTTTCATAGCCATAAACATCATAGCTCTGTCTAAAAATTACCTATGCTCTTTAAGGCACAAACTAACTCAGAGCTTAAAATAAGGCTCCATATACAAGAGATCTGTTGAAGAGATTGACTTAATTGCAGAGAAAACCCTTAGCTGCTAGTTAAACCAAGGTTAATGATTAGTTATTAAGCATTTATTAATAGTCACAGACAAGGGCCATCAAATATTTATGAAAAGCTAACAAGATGAATCACAAGAACAAAATGAACAAAGAACAGATCTTAGAAGAAACCAGTAATGCCCAGAAGAAAACTTTCAGAGTATTCTAATTAGTGTCCTCTAACGAAGGGAAGGGCTATTAGCTCCAAGATTTCCCACAGAACAAAATCAGCTGCTATTTTTAAAAGGTCAATGAAAGTGTTTGGACATGAGTTCTTTTTAAAGGCAATTAATAAAAATTCTGTTAATAATCTGGAGAGATGAGGGAAGCTAGCTAAAAAGGAGGGGAATGAGGAAAATGAATTAAAATAATTGAGAAAGTACAATCAAAAGTAAAAATGAGGGGCCTGGGAGATGGCTCAGTAGAATAAGTGCCTGCCTGGCAAGCACAAGGTCCTGAGTTCAATCCCCAGTTCTAAAAAAAAAAAAAAGTAAAAATGAGAGAAAAATTTTAAAACCCATAGGACAGCTCTAAAAAGGCCAACACCTAAATAGGAGGGAGAAATGGGGAGAAGACTGCTGGTGAGACAAGTGCTGTATTAGAAAAGTATTCCCCTAACCCAAAGAAAGAGGAGTAGAATAACTGAGTGTTCACCAGGGATTAAACAAAAACAACAACAACAAAAAAAAATTTAAATGACAGAACACCAAAATACATATAGATAAATTATAAAACACCAATGACAACGACTGTGACAAAGCTACCATAAAGAAAACAAAAAAACTGGTTCTCTACAGTAAACAGACTTTCTCATTAAAACATTGTACTGTAGATTCCAAGAATATAAGCAATGCTTTCAAATATACATGAAAGATTTTTTAGAAGTAATGTGTAAAATCTTTCTTTGGAGGAAAATACTTTTGTTCTTTTGACTTTAAAAATAGCCAACAAAATAATTAAACTGCATATGCTCTATACAATTAAAGAGGAAAAAGGGCAAAATGAAATTCACTACTCTGGGCTGCAAAGATAACTCAGTGGTCTAAGCCTTTGCCTGGCAAGCATAAGGACCCAAGTGTGATCCCCGGCACTGCATGCCCTGCCAGCCCTGGAACCCAGGTGTGCCTTGCCGGCCATCGAGACCAGGCATGGTAGTGCACAACTATAATCCCAGCTCTGGGGAGGCTGAGACAGGAGGATCACAATAAGTCTGAGCTGCGTAGTGAGACGCTGTACCAAATAAATAAATAATATTGGGGGAAAAAGCAAACAAAAAATTGACTAACCCAATGAAAGTCAGGAATTCATGGCAATTTCTTAATACTCCTTAAAAAGTCAAAATACTGTATAGACCTACCCTTTTTCCAGCAATTCTTCTACTAGCTATTATTTTCCAGGAAAAGAAAAAGCATGTGTCATGCCAGGAACACATATGCTAACAGCAGCTTTGTTTATAATAGCCAAAAACTGGAGACAGTGCAAATGTTCATTTATTAGCAGATATATAAACAAATTAAAGTAAAACAAACAATGGAATCCTAATATTCAGCAATAAAAAGCCAGGAGGGGCAAACCATCCTGCCTGCTGTTTCTGTTTGTGTTGCGCAGGCTTTATTTTGTATTAGTCCATGTTGGCCTTACAAAATGAACACATTCCTCACAGGGAGTCACTGCCCACATGTCCCATGAGCTCACTGCATTTTCACCCCCTACCCTCCTCTGCCTCTGCCTCTCCCCTTCTATCTCTTACCTCCACCTTCCATTTGCAAAAGATCTCACTCCCTGTTTCCTAGTATTATCTTTTATTTTCCTCTTTACTTATGTTTAGGGCTTCTAATATAAGAAAAACCATGCAATATTAAAGCCTGGGTGTCTCAAGTCTCCAGGGACATGTATTTTCCTACCAATGATTCAAGTTTGTCCTTGTATGCACCTTCAGGTTTCTTTACTGGTTCATCCGGTGATAGACACACAGGAGGCTTCCAAGGCAGCTAATATGAATTGCCTGCCACCTGTTCCTATACAGCACACATCTGAAGAGTAGCTTGTATTTTTTTTAAAGAGTTGGGAAGAATTATACTTGGTGAAAGATGAAAATTAAAGTAAAACTGCAGTGTCCATAAAGTTTTATGGGAACCCAGCCATGCTCATTTGCATATTTTCTGCGGTTGCAGAGAGCTTGCAAAGTACTAGGCTATTTAATATCCAGAGCTCACAGGAAGGGCAGCAACTTCTAAGGAAAAGCAGCGCAGATAAGTCTTAAAGTAATTATGGTGAATAAAAGAAGCCAAAACATATGTACTTAAAGATTCCATGCCTATAAAATGCTTGAAAATGCAGTCTAAATTCTATGGGATAACCTGGGCACAGTGCAACACTCCTGCAATCCCAGTACTCTGTAGGCTGAGATAGGAGAATCACAAGTTCATAGCCAGCATGAGCCACATAGTGGGTTCAAGCCCAGCAAGAACTATGTAGTGAAACCCTATCTTAATAAACCAACAAAGCTAGGTGTGGTGGCACATGCCGTAATCCCAGCACCCAGAAGGCTAAGGCAGGAGGACTGTTGTGAGTTCAAACAAGCCTGGACTACAAAGTGAGCTCAAAGCCAGCCTGAACTGCATAGCAAGACCCTGTCTCAAAAAGATGGAAAGAAAGGGGGCAGGGATAGGATAGATAGATAGATAGATAGATAGATAGATAGATAGATAGATGATAGATAGATAGATAGATAGATAGATAGATAGATAGATTCTATGGATAAAAAGCAGACCAAACATTGCTTAGGAAGGATATAGGGGAAAGAACTGGACAGAGAAATTACAATGGGCTACCAGGAAATTTACAGGGTCCTGATATGCTAACTACTTTGCTTGTGGTGACAGCTTCTCAGGTATATGTTTTAATTATCCATTTTAAATATGTGGCATTTACTGCATCTTAGTTACACCTCAATAAAGTTATTTAAAATAAAATTTCAACTAAAACAGTGAAAGGCAAAAAAGGAACATATGGCAATTTCAAAATGTGTGGGATGCTGCTAAAATAAAACTCAGAGTAAATGTTTTCTCCTTAAAAGCATACGGTCAATAAACTACATATTTGTCTGAAGAAGATAGAAAAATAATATTTACATACCACAGAAGAAGGAAAAAATCAGAAACATAAGGTCAGAGATTAATGAAATAGTAAATAAACAATAAAATTAATAAGACTGACCAAAAAGATCAATGAGATTTTCAGAAACTGATAAATCTGATTACCTTCTGGTAAGACTTATCCCACTCAAAAAAGAAAAGAAATAATATCAAGAATGAAAAGGAGGGGGTTCAATCCCCAGCCTGCCATGCCAGCCCCGCCCCCAGGGCACACTGAGACAGCAAGTGAGACCGGGTGTGGTAGCACACGCCTGTAATCCCAGCTCTTGGAAGGCTGTAAACAGGCAGATCACTATGAATTCAATCTAGTAGTGAGATGCTGTAGACCCTTCCCTAAACTAGAAAAAAAAAAAAAAAAGAATGAAAAGGATCAAAAGAACAGAAAGCAGAAAAAAATAGAAAAAAGTCACATCTATAAATATTACAACTATTAAATAATAAATTCATATTACAGACTTGATAGCAATAATTTGAATTAGATGAAATGGAACATTTTTCTCATGGAAAAACATAATTTGCCAAAAGTGAATCAAATAGAAGCATGATATCTGGGTTGTTCTATAAGCAATAAAAGAAATGAAAGGCTGAAAATCTCCCAGAAAAAAACTCCCGATCCCCAGTGGCTTTACTAATGAGGTATTAGAAAAAATTTTTTAAAAGATGTAATTCTACTCTTTGGTAAGCTTATCCTGTGTATAGCACTGTAAGAAACACACCAGTCTTTCATGACTGTATACATAGCCTTAGTTACCTAATAAGAGCAGTCAAACAGAGAGACTAGTCAAGTCACTTATACACTTAAGCATAGACACAAAAATTACATAAAAATATTAAGAGAAAATTTAGGTATTATATAAAGGAAAATAGGTGGCATACAAGGAACATAAGTTTGGTCCAACTTTGAAAAGCTAATCAATGTAATTTTTGTTTTTTTGTTTTGATTTTGAGAGGGCCTCGGTCTGCACAGTTCAGGCTGGTCTTGAACTCACTGTGTAGCTCAGCTTGACCTCAAATTTGCAGGGATTCTCCTGCCTCAGGCTCCCAAATTCTGGGGTTACAGGTGTGTACCCCACACCTGGCTCTGATCAATATAATTAATTACATTAACAGACTAAAGGAGCTACATCATGTCAGTAAAGACAGAAAAAGTATATAACAAAAGTCAATATACTTTTCCTTAAATATATTAAAACCTCTTAGTAAGGAATAAGAATATACAGGAGCTCTCTTAATATGGTAAATTATATCTTAAAATAAACAGGCCTAGAGGCCTAGCTCAATGGTACAGCATATGCTTGAGCTCTTGGATTAAATCCTCAGCACAGGGGGAAAAAAAAAAAAAAAAACACCTTAGTAACATTTAAACTTGATGACAAAGAATAAAAATTTTCTCTTTGAGGTGGCACAAGAGTACCATAATCACCATTATTCAATGTTGAACTGGAGGTCCTAGCAAGAATTTTGGTAATGGAAGAAAAAGAAGCTATATAAATTGGAAAGAAAATTGCTTCTCAGCTTTTTGGCAAAGATCAAGTGTAGAAAAATATCATCCTACTAAATTGATATGATGAAATAGCTAGAAAATGAAAATCTACACATGCATTATTAGCATTTAAGCAAGACTGTTCAATACTTAACTTGTAGAAATTAGTTATGTAACATTTCTGTCTATGAACAACAAACCAAAAATGAAATGTGTGAAAAGAAAATAACATTGGAAGTAACATAAAAAAAACTTCATAGGAATGATCTTATAAAAGATATGCAAAACAGCTACTAGAAAATCCCTCTGATGAGTGCACCTATAGATATATGTAAAAAGCAAAATATTACTAGACTCTGGCCATAATAAATAATATACAAAAATCAATTCCAAGTGCACAGGAGAGCAAATCTCTGTGTAAAAGGGACAAACAAGAATGCAGAACCAGCCAAAGGCAAAAGAGGAGAAAGGGCCAAGGTTGATGGTCCTCATAAGCCCTGTGCCTTACCTAAGAAGACCTGAAAAGGGCAAGAGAAAGGTGAGGTCCAAGGTGCTAAAGGGGGAAGTGCTCCTCACGACAGCACCATTAACACTTTTTCTCAGAATTCTTTACCAGTGTTCTAGAACTCTGATAAGCACCTTATGTCCTGCCGCTCTTGATCAACGAATCTTATCTGCGAGGCAAGCATCATTTTGTGAACCTTAATTTCCTCAGTTCGCTCTTCCATGGCTGTAAGCAACTGCTGTTTTCCTTTTTCCAGGGAAAGAACTTCTTCTGCTTTGCTGTGAAGCATTTCTCGAATCCGTTTAACCTCAAGTTTTAAGAGATTGTCCTCTATCATCAAATCCTATAAACATAACAAAATTTTCAAACATTGAAATAATTATTTTTATGCCAAATCAAAATATTTGAACTGTATAAAAATCAAATTTAAAAATACACCATTTTTTAGTTTGACCATTGTCTAAAGACTAAATTTATTATTTAT